AAATTAAACAAAGTCTCAATCAAGCGGATGATTTTGTTAGAATTATAATTAATACAGTAATACAACAACAATTTATAATATTGTGATAAATGATAATTGATGATTGATTGCGCTGATCATCGCCACGCCTCAGTCAAAGTCTTCTCATCACAGATTATATTCTATTTTTTCAACTATAATTACTTTATGTCCGTATATATTTACTATATTTACTTTATGCTGTACGAATAAATAATTACCAACCCAATTTATAAAATTTACAAATGTATTATAATTAATTATTAATTCAACTACATTTAATTTGTATTAAATACAAAGCATATTCATGCAATTTGGATACTATTCATATAACATTAAAAAAAAAAAATAAAAAAATAATAATCAAATATTAATAAAAATAATAATAATAAGTAAGTCAAATCACAGTATTATTTCATACAATATCATCAACATCATATGAATATGCCTAAAAATAAATTTAAAATTCCAATTGAATGTTTAAAGGAGCTTAGCCCTCCTTAATTATGCATAAATAAATGTGCACTTATTTTCATTGAACCTGTCCTTATTTACTCTGAAATTTGTCGCCCGCCCATTGCCATGTACTTAAAATTCGAGCTGCTGCTGAAACTGTGTGAAGCCAGTGCTCCAGCCACAAGCCACAGTTGTGCAGCTCAACCGCAGAGCTCGAAAGCGAAGCGCCTAATGACCAATTGCTGCCTACAGCAGGCCAAATGAAAAAAAAAAAAGGAAAAAGGAAAAACAATACAGAAATTCGTCGGCAATTCCAGCGCCTAGTGCGCGCTTCCCCACTCCACGCCGCCCACTTGCCGTTTCCTGCTGCCGTCACATTTGTAACTGCAGCACACAAACAAATGTCCAATGAAACAGATTGCCAGGCAAACAAACAAACAGCCGAAAAAAAAAGAACGAGAAAACGGAAAAACAAGAAAAAATTGGAAGACAAATAAAAAAGGAAGAAAAACTAAAACAGATATGTAAAGAAAAAAATAGGGGCTGCAGGATAAATTGATGGCAAAAACAATACAGAGCTCTACCCCAGCCCGCCCGCAATGAGTGTCCCTGTGGCCAACACTCACACACCCACACACGGACACACGGATACACGGCTCTTCCCCTGCTGCTTGCCGTGGAGTGCATGTCCTGGCTCGCAAGGGTTTAACGCACTTAAGCAATAAAAATCGAAACAATTTTTGGCGCTGCCAAAGTGAAATTGAAACAAAATGCCGCCAGAGGAAATACTTTCGATTTTTGGCCAAAATGGCAGAAAGAAAGCAAAAAAAAAATCAACAAAAAATTGGGGGCAAAAACGAGAGCTGTATAAGTGCGAATGTTATAAATAAGTGGAGCAGTTGGGCAATACGAACGAAAGTTGTGTCCTTTTATATGCAATACGTTTCGCAAACGGAACGCCTTGACAAACAGTTTGGTCTACCACTCTCTCGTTCTCTCTCTTTCTCTCTCTCTCCCTCTGTGTGTGTGTGTACAAATGACTGGGCTATAAACGCATCCTGTCTATTGTTTATGCTCGCTGGCGTGTGGCAAGCGCATAATTGAAAAAGGACATTCGATTGGCTGGCCCAACTGCCGGCGGCCCGAGTTATGAAAGGACACATCATAAAAGCCATGCACGTAAAATAAAGGAATATGGCTTTTGATTAAGTAACACGCCAGAGCCAGACAATAATATATCCATACATACATACATATATCTCTCCCTCTATCTGTATATCTGTGTGCATCTAAAGTGCCTTCAATCAATTGTATTATTTTCATTTAACTTTCTCTCTCTCTCTCCATCTGCTTCCCTCTCTTGCAGTGCCCGATCATGGCGCCACCTATCGGTCGGATGGCAAGAATACGCCGTTGAAGCACGACGCCAAATCGCTGACCGACGAAATGGATCGCATGCAGGATCTGAAGAGCTCAGCCGCTGTGCACATACACAACATATTACACTCTTTGCTTATCGTTGTCTACCTGGGGGCGTGGCAGGCCTAAGAATTTAAGCGAGCAATTAAGTAGTAATCTGTACAAAATAATAAAACAGTTCGTAAATCTAAGCTAAATCAGTTGTAAGCAATTAATTCGAGAGAGATTCGATTCGAGAGCTAAATGTAAAAAGTTGTTGTTGCTTAGCGCGTAAGTTGAAAAGGGTTTTCGTACACACACACGCACACAAAGAGACTTACACACACACACACACAGGCACTTATAGACAAACACATAATGCAGACAGATTTATAAACAAACAACGGAACTACAAAGTATTAGCATGTAAAATTGAGGCGATTCGCAAATTCGAAAAAAAAAAAATCAAATAAAATAAAAAACAAAAAAGGACATCCTAAGGCTTAGGACTGACATGTGTTGTATTAGTCAGAGCAGCTAATGAGCTACAACTAAAAAGAGAACCACTCAAAGCTACATTTAAATCTAGGCTTAAGTCAAATGCTCGAGTGGAGAGCAGCCAGCCTTTGCATAAAATGTTGCAAAAGCGAAGGCAAAAAAAATAAAGGAAAAACATTTACTTTAGACTCATTTAGGCTTCTTTTTCGTGCACCGCTAAATGTTTATAAATAATTATAAATATAGATATATATATAAATACGGATATATATGCATATATATATAAATACATTGTAATTGATTTATTTGATTTAACAACATGGAAATAAAATGCCGTCTTAAATTATTTCAACTTTGACCTCGGACTTATGTATTCATTGCGATTTATTTTTTAATTGGGCGAATTCAATCTAACGTTTGTTTTTACAGCAGCTGCATTTGCCCTTTGTGCAATGCACTAAGACTGTCAACTGGCTTATGAACTTTCCCAATTTGATGTCCAGTTAGCCACACGAAATCCCCAGCTCACATTCGCCACAGTTCATAGAAAATACTTTGCTTACACTAAACCTATATATAAACATATCCATATCATAGCTGCAAGTCGAAGCACAAACAATTTTTATTTTGGGGCTTAGAGCTCTGCTTGACATTCAGCAAATTGTCAAAGAGAGCTTAAGCCAATACAAACAAATTCTATTTGGGTTTCGCTCTGCAGCTCGATTCAAGCAGCCTTGAAAAGCAACTTTATCTTATTTTCTATATTTATATAGCAATTGAAAATGGATACGAGTAAGTCGTAGCGATGGTCGAGCAGATGCGTGTGGACCAGGAGCACACGTAAGTTCGAATCCTGACAAAGTCTAACTGCCCCCAAGTATAAATGCAGTTCGAGCAGTGCTCTAAGCATCTCCTAGACCATCTGCCGCTTACAGCATTCTCTCTTACTTAATATCCTGGCGATGTATGAAGTGAAGAAACTACGGCTTGGCTTATGAGCAGTTTTCTGCCTTATGAGTAGTATTCGCTTCACTTCATACCGAACTCCGGCCTCAATATTGTTCTTCGAATTGTTGTCTGGTGTCATAATTGTTTAACAAAATTAAAGCGAAAATTTCGATTTATGTTTATGAGTGAATCAATAAAACTGTTGCTACATTTTGTATTTCTCTTCGCATGTTTTTCGCAGCTCTTGTGACATGAAGAGTTTCATATGCAAACTTCAGCAGCAAAGCTTATAATCATTTATATTTATTTAAGCTGCTGTTGAAATATTTTAATTGGAAATTGTATCGCTCTTGTGTGGTTACATTTTCTATAAAATTTTATGGAGTACAAATTAAAAAAGCCAAAAATATTAAAATAAATAACATATTTATTTATTTTTTTAATCTTTTTATATTTAATGCATGAACATATGTCATTTAAATTTTATATATTACTAAATATAAATTTTAATGTTTGGTATTCAAATTGAAAAATTTTATATTCTCAGAGGATAATTGAGTTAATAAGCGAGGCCAATGAATGTACGGATTGTGTATTTAAAATAGAAAATAATAATAGGAAAAAAAAGTACTATCAATGCCAATTAATATAAAAAGTTCTGGAAATTACACTTGCACTAAAATGTAATTTAACTCTTCAAAGCGCCAAACGACAATTACTTTATTTCTCCTAGATCATTCAGCAACCTTGCTCTAAATGATCTTGGAAAAATGAATCAATTTTCATTTAAGAAATTGTTCAAATTGTGTACAGGTTTGCCATAGAATATATGATAAAAGACATCTGAGCCGCAATACCTCAAGGCCACAATCAAATTAAATCAAAAGCGAGCTCAAGAATCGATTTAAGTAATTGATATGTGAAAAGCTCAGCCCACTCCCTTTCGACTTATGTGACTACCGCCTAAGGGCCACGCCTCTATCTTTTTTTTTTCAGCATCAACAACAAAGTGAACTTAACCACACAATTTGTGCTCATCTGCTGATGCTGATGCTGACGTTGCTCCACATCAGATTCTCTATCCCCCTGGAAAGTTACGTTTACCATCAATTTTTTACGCCATCGTCCCACATGGCAGAAATATTTCATTACAAAGTCAGCACTAGGCAGCAAAAGCAAAACATAAAAAAAAAATAACTTAAAATAAAATAAAATAAGATAAAATAAAAAATATCTGCGTAACGCCAGCGAGTTTATAATTTAATTTAAAAAGCGCAGAGCAACTGCAAAACAAAGCAAAAAGTAAAATAAAAAGCAAAATAAAATACATAATTATTAAAATAAATTAAATGTCTGCTGTTGCCCTCATAAACTCACGAGCAGCCAATTAAAAGCACGTCGGACGTGGCTAGTTTTTTGCTCAAGGGCCTCAGAGAGTCCATATTCGAAATGGGCCAAGAAAAGCGTATGTGCTAGCAGATGCTCTATAAAGGCATCTGCTCTTTAGCTGATGCTCACATTATGATAGTAATTCAGTCAGTTCTTTATTAATATATTTCAGTTAAAAAACAAGAGGTAAATCTATTAAGAAGATATTTTAAAATTAATAGGTAAATAAAAACAACTAAATAAATATATATTGATAAATATATTCTTTCATATTTTAATAAATATTATAGTATTTATATTATTTGTTCAATCAACTTGTAAATCAATTACAATTTTCTTTGACATGTAGTGAAGTGAAAAAAGCGAAGTAGTTGCCTAGGGCGGCAATTTATTATTTGAAGAAATCTGCAAAGCTAAAATGAATATTGATTTGCTGCCAAAATCATATGGCAATTAAAAAACAGCAATCGAGTCTGACTCAAGTTTCCCTTGATCTGCAACATGTTGGAGCCTGATAAATACTAAGAAAGTGCATAATATAGGTAAATAAAATGAATAAAATAAAAGCTATAAAATATCGAAGTATAGAAAATCTACATAAAATAATAAAAACATTTTAAGTATTATTGTCTTTAATTATTTCAAACAAACAAACAGAATGAGCGAGAACAGCATAATAGAGTGTGAAATAGATAGAGGAGAGAGAGAGAGAGAGAGAAAGGGGTAGTGATAATGCTAGGCAGAGAGAGATGTAAAATATCTAAAACAATTAATAAATAAAAAATAAACTGTAAATAAATAAATATATACTGTAAAAATATATGAGAAGTATGGGAGGCCAGTAGAAGAAAAGCAAGAACAGAGATAGGATTTGAAGAAAATATATGAGAAAAAGAATTCCAGAGATGAGAAAAGAAACAAATCGGAAAGTTAAGGAATAAGAGGAGCAAGCAAGCAAGCAAACTAGAATACAAAAGTAAAGAGAAATTTAAAATATTTAAGAATAGAAGTAGACAAACGAAATAGATTCAGGAAAATGGAAACAAAGGCAAACTAAAGCCAAGTAAAAAACTTCTGCTTGAGAAATTCACCCCACCCCCATCTGCAACTGCTCCAGCATCGCCCATGCAGGCAACCCAGCAACGTAATATACCCATTTGCCATTGCTATGCTTTGGTCTTGTAAAAATCGCTACCGCGGCAATTTGGTTGCATTTTCACACGCGTTGCGCCGCAAATGGCAAAAAATTGGCATGTGTGTGCGGGGTGTGTGGGTGTAGGTGGGGGCTTATGCAATCACCCGTGCCCTTTTACCTCCATTTACCCTTTTTAGCCCGCTCTGCTCTGTAGTTCGCACACAAAAGGCAAGTTAATAAGAGCATGTGCCGCATGTCCAGAATGGCGAGCGAAATCCTCGCAACCTAACCAAACGGCCGGCGAGACCACATAGTCATCCACACACACACACACAGAGAGACACTTGCACTCACACACTCCCACACTCACACTCAAACAAGTTGATGCTGGCAGCCTCAGCGACTAAATCGCTGAACACCGGCTGAGCGCCGGCTTCGGTTTGCCCTCAAAGGTAGGCAACACTTTTTGTAAACTGCATTTCGCTCTACCTTGTGACAAAAATTCACAATTAATTCTCAATTTATTGTATGTGTGTGGGTGTGAGCTTACATTGTCATCTATTAGACTGTTTATTGAGCGCCTTTCATGCAGAATATGCCATCTGACACGATGTGTGTGTATATTATTTAATCGTGTAATTGATAAAGTCAATTTGCTACGAAATTAAATATATTTTGTGTAACTGCATATACCTGTGTGTGTGTGTGTGCGTGTGTGTGCGTTTGTGTTGGCTTTTATTTATAGCAGCTGTCATTGATCAGCTTAATGATATGTGAAACTCAAACTATTTTAATTAATTCTTTGACTGGATTTTACACATTTTAAACAATCAAATTTCACCTGTCTGCCCTGACATTCGTATGTCAGACTAACAGACTTAACAGACTATTAATAGTATATATTGTATGTATATTTAAATAAATTAATTAGAA